CTCTCGGGGCGGGGGGAAACTTGCAGGCTGGCCACACTTCCGACTCTTGCTGCTCCTTGCATGTGGGCAAAATTTGCCGCCTTCCCCTTGGGTAGCGTCTCGCCTTGTACTGGTGCTCGTACCAAAGCAGAACAGTCTCCACGAAGCGCGATGCAAGGTCAAGGACTGCAGCAGGCAGGCTGCGATGTGATGTGGTAACCTCCACCAACCCGTCAGCTGAGGACATGCAAAATGCAGTGTTCGGAAACAGAAGCCTGCTCTGGGTGTGCTGCTACGCAGACTTCGGGGTCCCCCTGCTCTGCAAGACACCCCGGCACTACCCACCCTCCCTATCTCCTGCAGGGCCCGCTATCGGTATCGTATCAGCTATCCCTTGGCACGAGGATCATGCCCGCAGGGCCCGGTTTCAGTATCGTAACAGCATCCTTGTACCAAGGGATAAATGTCTGCAGGGCCTGGTACCGGTACCATATGGGCTATCCCTTGGTATGAGGATGATGTCTGCAGGGCCCGGTATTGTATTGGCTATCCCTCAGTATGAGGATCATGCCTGCACGGCCTGGTTTCAGTATCATATGGGCTATCCCTCGCTACAAGGATGATGTCTGCCGGGCCCAGTATGATATCAGCATCCTCGTACCGAGGGATAGATGTCTGCAGGGCCCAGTATCGGTATCCTATCGGCTATCCCTCGGTACGAGGATGATGTCTGCAGGGCCTAGCCCGTGCTCTGAACGCTCCTGACCCCTTTGGGGTTTAATTCCTGCCTGTTCCACAGACCCCAAAATTGACCATGGGCAAAGTCGCTTAGTTGTTCTGTGCCTCAGTTTCCATCTCTCTAAAAGAGGGGGCCAGCCGCCTTCAGCAACGCAGCAGGAGCCTGCACCCGTGACAGGCTGCGCAGCATCCAGCTGCGGCTCCCTTACCTCTCTCGCAGCCGCCCGCCTCGTGCCCGCTCTTTGGCTTAAGGGCAGAACCGCGCCCGTTTGCACCGAGCAGGTTGGGACGGAGACCCCGCTTGCCTGCGAGCTCGGGCACGGCTTGCGCGCGCTGGGCGCTCTCCCAACAAGCCGGAAGCGGCCCCGGGGCCAAGTTGGATGGCGCTGGAGGAATGCAGCCAGGTGGGGGAGAGGCCGGCGTGCCCACAGCGTGTCAGTGCTGTGGCAGCGCTCAGGGGTGTGCTGCTCCTGCGCTCTCCAGCTGCGAGCTGCCGGCGGTGTGCCGGGCTGCGCTGCGCTGCGCTGCGCTGCGCTGCGGGCTCGCCCCGGGGCCGGGC